TGGGGGCTCATCTTCTGGTATCATATCTTTTTGCCTTTTCACACTGTCCATAGGGTTCTTCAGGCACTCCAGGCAATATTGGAGTGGGTTGCCCTTTCCTACTACAGAGGAGCATGTTTTGTCAGAACCCTTCACTGTGACCTGTCCATCTTGGGTGACTCTGCACAGCAATGGCTCATAGCTTCATTGACTTAGGCAAGCCCCTTCATCATAAGGCTGTGATCCATGAAAGGGCAGCTGCACATGTGTGCAATTATTTTTAGTCCCTTATAGTTTCTTAGTTTCTTATAGAAGCTAAAGACAAAAGAGAAACAGAAAGATATACCCATCTGAATGCAGAGTTGCAAAGAATAGCAAGGAGAGATAAGAAAGTCTTCCTCAGTGATCAGTGCAAAGAAATAAAGGAAAATAATAGAATGGGAAAGGCTAGAGATCTCTTCAAGAAAATTAGAGATACCAAGGGAACATTTCATGCAAAGATGGGCACAATAAAGGACAGAAATGGTATGGACCTAACCTAAGCAGAAGATATTAAGAAAAGGTGGCAAGAATACATGGAAGAACTATATTAAAAAGATCTTAATGATCCAGATAACCATGAAGGTTCACACCTTCATTCACCTAAAATCAGATATTCTGGAGTCTGAAGTCAAGTGAGCCTTAGGAAGCATCACTACGAACAAAGTAGTGGAGGTGACGGAATTCCAGTTGAGCTATTTCAAATCCTAAAAGATGATATGATTAAAGTGCTGCACTCAATATGCCAGCAAATTTGGAAAACTCAGCGGTGGCCACAGGACTGGAAAAAGTCAGTTTTCATTCCAATCCCAAGGAAGGGCAATGCCAAAGAATGTTCAAACTACCACACAATTGCATTCATCTCACACGCTAGTAAAGTAATGCTCAAAATTCTCCAAGTTAGGCTTCAACAGTAGGTGATGTGAGAACTTCCAAATGTTCCAGCCAGACTTAGAAAAGGCAGAGGAACCAGAGATCAAATTGCCAACATACATTGGATCATCAAAAAAGCAAGAGAATTCCAGAAAAAACCTCTACTTCTGCTTTATTGACTGTGCCAAAGTCTGACTGTGTGGGTCACAACAAACTGTGGAAGATTATTCAAGAGATGAGAACACCAGACCACCTTACCTGCCTCCTGAGAAATCTGTATGCAGGTCAAGAAGCAACAGTTAGAACTGGGCATGGAACAAGGTATTGTTTCCAAATTGGGAAAGGAGTACATCAAAGCTGTATATTGTCACCCTGCTTGTTTAACTTCTATGCAGAGTACATCATGTGAAATGCCGGCCTGGATGAAGCACAACCTGGAATCAAGATTGCTGGGAGAAATATCAATAACCTCATATATGCAGATGACACCACCCTAATGGCAGAAAGTGAAGAGGAACTGAAAAGCCTCTTGATGAAAGTGAAAAAGGAGAGTGAAAGACCTGGCTTAATACTCAACATTAAAAAAACTAAGATCATGGCATCTGGTCCTATCATTTCATGGCAAACAGATGGGGAAACAATAGAAACAGTGAGAGACTTTATTTTTGGGGGCTCCAAAATCACTGCAGATGGTAGGTGCAGCCATGAAATTAAAAGACACTGCTCCTTGGCAGAAAAGTTATGACCAACCTAGACAGCATATTAAAACACAGAGACATTACTTTGCCAACAAAGTCCGTCTAGTCAAAGCTATGGTTTTTCCAGTAGTCATGTATGGATGTGAGAGTTGGGCCATAAAGAAGACTGAGTGCTGAAGATTTGATGCTTTTTAACTGTGGTGTGGTGGTGTTGCTGAAGATATGATGCTTTTGAAATGTGGTGTCTGAGAAGACTCTTTAGAGTCCCTTGGACTGCAAAGAGATCAAACAGTCAATCCTAAAGGAAATCAGTCCTGAATATTCATTGAAAGGACTGATGCTGAAGCTGAAACTCCAATACTTTGGCCACCTGATGTGAAGAGCTGACTTATTGGAAAAGGCCTGATGCTGGGAAAGATTGAAGGCAGGAGGATAAGGGGATGACAGAGGATGAGATGGTTGGATGGCATCACCGACTCAATGGACATGAGTTTGAGCAAGCTCCAGGAGTTGGTGATGGACAGGGAAGCCTGGCGTGCTGCAGTCCATGGGGTCGCAAAGGGTCGGACGTGACTGAGCAACTGAACTGAGCTGATAGTTCTTTTTATTTTGTTGCTGAGGGAGATATTTGTTCAGCGATAAGCCTTTCAGCAAAATGTTGCAAATATCAAGTTCCAACTTGTTTCACAATTACCATGATCCCCTTAATCCTCTCTGGAGATTTCTGTTCATTCCTGGGGTTCAGACTAGACCAAGGTCTTGCATCCTTCAAATCTTCTTTGCTTCTGGGGTTCCATCTTTCTCAATGGTGACCCAGCCTCTTTTACTGACATGGACCTGGCCCCTTCTTTTACTTGCACCATGGAAGTCACCTGCACCAGGCTTTTGGAATTCAAGTTTACAAGGACTTGGGAGTCATGACGAAGCCACCCAGAGAGTGGGCACCATATACTGTTTGCTCTTCTCTTGCTCTGATCTCCTCTTCCTCCCTGGCCCCTCTGGGGGGCAGTCCCTTCCCAGTTCTGAGATATTTACATAAAGCAACATCCTCTTGGCTCTGGGGGTGGGGTGGGGGGTGGGGGGTGAGGTGGGATGGGATCTCTCAGCTTTCCTCTACTTCAAGTTTCTATCTTACCTATCAAAGCCAGTTATTTCCCTGAGAGCAATTTTGGTGCCAGCTGGTTAGTGAAGTTTAATATACATCTTTGATACAGTAGATATAAGAAAATTTTATACATGACAGTAACCTTCAGTGAATACCTCTGGGTGATGAGGATAACAGATGACTCTTATTTTCTTCCTTTTGCTTTTCTTTACAATGAGCATATTTTCTGAAATGTGCACAATGTACATATGTTAAATTTTAATAAGAAAGAAATCACCCAAGCAGACTTTGGCCAGTCCTGAGAAAGGCAAGGCCACCAGGGGCTCAGAAGGGAAAGGTATGTGTGTGTCAGGGCAGAGAGCCACAGGCGAGCTCAGGGCACCGGGGGCTGGGGAGCAAACGGAGCTGGGGCAGGGGAAGGAGACAATGGAACAAAGACGTGGGGAAAAATCAGATCACCAATTTAAGGTAATATAATTTGGCTCCATTGTGTTCTTGCATTTAGGAGGTTGACTAACAATAACAAGGATAATTATAACAATTTTAGGTTCATCTGCACACTGTCATTTCATTATCCTCCAACTTATTGTGCTTGTTCCTAACATCCTGCTACTACAAAAGAGGAAATCGAATAGATGCATCCTTAATTTCAGCTATATTTTATACTTGGCTCTGACACAATTCCATTTTCAAATTGCCTGCATACATTAAAATGTGAATTTCATTGCCCCATCCCGCTGCAATCCATTCAATCTTGTAGTAGTTTAGAAAATGACCGATCAGTTGGGACCAAAATGATCAATATGTTCTCCACCCTTGTGCTCTGTAAACCCCACACCTATCTTATCCTTCAGCTTTTCTTTTCCTTGCAATTGAGCCTATCAGTACCTGAGACTTGGGGGGCTGTTGTCACTAGTGTTTTTTCTTTTTTTACTATTATTGACTACTATGTATTTATTAATAAAAATGCATAGTACAAGTCAGTACAAACCCTTTATCCCAATCTAAGTACTCAGTAAATGATTATAATAAACCCAGGATGGCACAGACATGATTTGCTTGGCATGATTTAAAAATTCAAAAGCAGTAATTTTTTTTTTTTTTTTTTTTTCCTTTGGGATTTTTGACTACAGCAGCTGGGACCTGGAAATGGCAGTTTTGTCAATGGTTAGGGGCTGGCAATGGATTGGTGGTGATGATGGAGAGCTGCACCCCTCCAGCCCCACAAACACTTAAGGGTTAACAGGCAAAATGGACAGTGGACAGTGCAGCCAGGATTAGGAGTGGAGGAAAGAGCTGGGGATGATCCCTGGAGCCCTTAGGGGCTATGCTCCCAGCTATTTCAGTTTCATCTCACTCATGTCCTTCCCATTGATAATAATAGACAAAATCAGACAAATCTTTCTTTCCCTGGCATTCTCCTTTCTTTCCTTATTAAATTTCTTGGAAGAGAGATCCACACTTAGGGTACTTCTTTGCCTCCTGTTTGCTCCTCTAACTATCACAGCCTGAATGTGGCCTACCGACCGTGTGCTCTCCTGGAGTTGGTACTGGATCCTGCTTTCCAAGTCTCTGTCCCATTCATCTCTTCAAAGCAACTAACATTGCTTTATGTTGTGCCCCACACCTTCCTTCCATTTCCCCCTGTCTCTTGATTAATGGCTCTGCCAACCAATGGTCACCTGGCCTAGAAACACTGATGCCCTCAGTTCCTTTTTGCTGACAGTGGAAACATCTATATATGCCCCCTCCTTTTCTCACCCATGGCGCAAGTTCCTTGGTTGAACCTCACACATCCTTCATCTGAACTCTGATTTCTAAGGTAATTGCATTGTGATTGAGAACTGTGGTTTGCATGGTGATTGTTTGAAGTTTGTTCATGATGTTTCTTGATGTATGTGATCAAATTTTATTAATGTACCATATATACCTGGGAAAGGGTGAATATTCTTGAGTTGTTGGGTGCCATGTTTCCTAGTGTGCAGCAAATCAACCTTATTCAAATTTTGAAATCCTTATTGATGTTCTGTGTATTGAGAGAATTATGTTGAAATGTCCCATTATGATGGCTTGTTTACTTCCTTTTGTGGATTTGTTAATTTTTACTCTATGTATTTTGAAGTTGTGTTTTTTTTTTGTTTTTTTTTTGTTTTTCTTCAGAGGGCACTTGTCATCTTGTTACTTGGCAGGTGGAAAGGGGCGGAGATCGAGGACACATGGAGAAAATTATATAAAATAAAAATGGGGCGGGTGGCGGGGGCGGGAGATGGTAAAGACTCGGGGTAGGGTCCCGGGGCGGGCGGCGTCTACATCTCCTGGGCTTCGGGCGCCTTCTCCTCGACGCTGTTGGCCACGGTGCTGCTGCCCTCATGCAGACGCTTCACGCGGTAGGCCTCGAAGTGGATGGTGCTGGTGATGTCTTTGATGTTCTGCATGTGTGTCCTGATAAGGAGGTCCCGCAGGTAAGCAAACTCACAGTGAGTGGTGTTCTCGACTTCAATGGTGCCCCACTTGGTTTTCCTTCCAAGGATCCTCTTCCCATTCACTTGGTACTCGTGGTCACTGCCCACCACAGCAAACGGAATCATCTCCCGGAACTTCTCGTTCACCAGCCGGTCCTCAGAGTCCTCGTCAGACTCCTTCTGGGGGTACACGTCAATGCCATTGGACAGCAGGTCCGCAGTGATCCGCTGTTTGAAGTAGACCCTCTCCTCCAGGGTCAGCGTGTCGGCCTTGGCGATGACCGGGGCGATGTTGACCACTTTGCTCAGGCGCTTCATGAACTCGATGTCCAGGGGCCTGAGGGAGTGGCCGGTGGCGGGGATGAAGTACAGGAAGCAGTGGACGCGGGTGTCCGGGATGCGCTTCTTCCGGTTGATGTTGACCTCCTCTTGCAGGTACTTCTCGTATTGGTCGTTGATGAACTTCATGATGGGCTGCCAGCAATTCTCATTGTTGATGTGGTCCCCGAAGCCCGGCGTGTCGATGCCCGTCAGCTTCATGCGGACGCCCTTCTCCTCAATATCGTGTGTGATGGACTTGATCTCAATGGTCTTAGGGATGCGCTCCTCCGAGGTGGGCTGCACTGACTTCCGGCTGATCTTGGATTTGAAGAGGGTGTTGATCAAGGTAGACTTTCCCAAACCGCTCTGCCCCACCACCATGATGTTGAACTCGAAGCCCTGCTTCATGGCCTTCCTGCGCATCTGCTCCAGGATGGAGTCGATCCCCATGTAGCCGAAGTCCACAGAGGCCTTCTCGTTCCGCGGCGCGGGCGGCTGCTTGAGTGCGGCATCCCTGGGGGTGTCGGCCATTTCGCCAGCGCTGCTGGGAGCTGCCTCGGTGGCCAGCAGCTGAGTCGGGCTGCGCCGGCCGCCTGCTGAAGTTGTGTTTTGAAGGGTATACAAGTCTGAAACTAGAAAATCTCCTAGTGAAATATGCCTTCTATCTTTTTTATGCTTGATGATATTTTTTGCTTTCCATGCATGCTACATCGTTTCATTGTATCTGACTCTTTGCATCTCTATGGACTAGAGCCTGCCAGGCTCCATCTGTCCGTGGGATTCTCCAGGCAGGAATATTGAAGTGGCCATGCCCTCCTCCAGGTGATCTTCCTAACCCAGAGATTGAACCTGTGTCTCTTATGTCTCCTGCATTGCCAGTGGGTTCTTTACCACTAGCGCCATTTGGGAGCCACCCCCTCCCACCTTTTTTTTTTTTGCTTTGAAGTCTGATATAATGTCATTGTGCCAGCTTTGCTTTGGTTAATATTTAGCTGGTATGTCTGTCCTTTCATGTTTCCCCTTTTAAGGGGCTTCTGTAGGAAATGGTATAATACAGAGATTTGCTTGGGTTCAAGTCACCATTGTGCTATCTATAGAGTTCAGTTCAGTTAAGTCACTCAGTCATGTCCGACTCTTTGCGACCCCATGAATTGCAGATGGCCAGGCCTCCCTGTACAACGCCAACCCCCGGAGTATACCCAAACCCATGTCCATCAAGTCAGTGATACATCCAACCATCTCATCCTCTGTCGTCCCCTTCTCCTCCTGCCCCCAATCCCTCCCAGCATTACGGTGTTTTCCAATGAGTCAACTCTTCACATGGTTTTCCAATGAGTCAACTCTTCACATGGGGTGGCCAAAGTATTGGAGTTTCAGCTTCAACGTCAGTCCTTCTAATGAATACCCAGGACTGATCTCCTTTAGGATGGACTGGTTGGATCTCCTTTCAGTCCAAGGGACTCTCAAGAGTCTTCTCCAACACTACAGTCCAAAAGCATCAGTTTTTCAGCACTCAGCTTGCTTTATAGTCCAACTCTCACATCCATACATGACCAGTGGAAAAACCATAGCCTTGACTAGATGGACTTTGTTGGCAAAGTAATGTCTCTGCTTTTAAATATGCTATTTAGGTTGGTCATAGCTTTCCTTCCAAAGAGTAAGCATATTTTAATTTCATGGCTGCAATCACCATCTGCAGTGATTTTGGAGCCCAGAAAAATAAAGTCAGCCACTGTTTCCACTGTCTCCCCATCTATTTCCCATGAAGTGATGGGACCAGATGCCACAATCTTAGTTTTCTGAATGTTGAGCTTTAAGCCAACTTTTTCACTCTCCTCTTTCACTTTCATCAGGAAGCTTTCTGGTTCCTCTTCACTTTCTGCCATAAGGGTGGTGTCATCTGTGTATCTGAGGTTATTGATATTTCTCCCAGCAATCTTGATTCCAGTTTGTGCTTCCTCCAGCCCAGCGTTTCTCATGATGTACTCTGCATATAAGTTAAATAAGCAGAGTGACAATATACAGCCTTGACATACTCCTTTTCCTATTTGGAACCAGTCTGTTGTTCCATGTTCAGTTCTAACTGTTGCTTCCTGACCTGCATACAGGTTTCTCAAGGGACAGGTCAGATGGTCTGGTATTCCCATCTCTTTCAGAATTTTCCACAGTTTATTGTGATTCACACAGTCAGAGGCATTGGCATAGTCAATAAAGCAGAAATAGATGTTTTTCTGGAACTATCTTGCTTTTTCTATGATCCAGTGAATGTTGGCAATTTGATCTCTGGTTCCTCTGCCTTTTCTAAATCCAGGTTGAACCTCTGGAAGTTCATGGTTCATGTATTGCTGAAGCCTGGCTTGGAGAATTTTGAGCATTTCTTTACTAGCGTGTGAGATGAGTACAATTGGGCGGTGGTTCGAGCATTCTTTGACATTGCCTTTCTTTGGGATTGGAATGAAAACTGACCTTTTCCAGTCCTGTGGCCACTGCTGAGTTTTCCAAATTTACTGGCATATTGAGTGCAGCACTTTAACAACATCATCTTTTAGGATTTGAAATAGCTCAACTGGAATTCCATCACTTCCACTAGCTTTGTTCATAGTGATGCTTCCTAAGGCCCACTTGACTTCACATTCCAGGATGTCTTGCTCTAGGTGAGTGATCACACCAACATGATTATCTGGGTCATGAAGATCTTTTTTGTATAGTTCTTCTTTGTATTCTTGCCACCTCTTCTTAATATCTTCTGCTTCTGTTAGGTCCATACCATTTCTGTCCTTTTTGTGCCCATCTTTGCATGAAATGTTCCCTTGGTATCTCTAATTTTCTTGAAGAGATCTCTAGTCTTTCCCATTCTATTGTTCTCCTGTATTCCTTTGCACTGATTGCTGAGGAAGGCTTTTTTATCTCTCCTTGCTATTGTTTGGAACTCTGCATTCAGATGGGAATATCTTTCCTTTTCTCCTTTGCTTTTCACTTCCCTTCTTTTCACAGCTATTTGTAAGGCCTCCTCAGACAGCCATTTTGCTTTTTTGCATTTCTTTTCCATGGGGATGGTCTTGATCCCTGTCTCCTGTACAATGTGATGAACCTCTATCCATAGTTCATCAGGCACTCTGTCTATCAGATCTAGTCCCTTAAATCTATTTCTCACTTCCACTGTGTAATCATAAGGGATTTGATTTAGGTCATACCTGAATGGTCTAGTGCTTTTCCCTATCTATATCTATACAATAATAACTTAAATTCCATGTCTTTGTGAGTGTGGGCTGGTAGCTAGGAATTTTCGGGAGACTCGTGTTTTATTTTCTTCTGCTTATCTCAGAACTAAACAAGGCAGATAGTTATCTCCTCTACGTTCTTCTCCTGGGCGGACTTTTCTCAGTTCACCCATGAGAGCCGTTGCCCTTCAGAACTACTGACTTTTCACCAAGTTCTCTGACCTGACTTTGCAGCCTGGCTGGACCTCTGCCTGGCTCTGCACTCCCACCACATGTCACCTGCTGAGCCTCTCTCAGCCACCAGGGATCGAACGCAGGGAGCCTCATGTCCCGGGTTGTGCTTACTGCTGCAACCACGGATCCAGAAGAATGCTTTCAGTACTTCGCAGCATCTTTAGGTGTCCTGTCCCGAGAGGAGCTTTAGGAAATGGAAGTTTCTGAGGGCAGCCTGTGCAATGGCTCAGCTCTAGGTCAGGGGCATCCAGTAAACAGTAGGGATAGCGACCTGCCTTCATGGAGCCTGAAGGCTTGTGGAGAAGGCAAACATTAAAACTATAAGTAAAGACAGAGTAAAAAACAGTGATTGGCACTCGAGAGGAAAACAAAGCAAGAACAGGGAACAGGAGTATGCCAAGACCAATTTGGCTATAGGAGGTCTGGCAGAGAATATCACCTGAGCAAATACCTTTGAAGGTGGGGGCAGGTGTGTGGAGAGGGGGGAGTCACGGCAGCTACCGCCTGAAAACTCCTTAGCAAGTGCCTCTTTTTGGGGACAGAGGAAGACTTTTCTGGGAAAAGACATCCTAGGGGCCGTGAAAACACAGAGCAGCCACATTCACATGCTCTGGCTCATCTCTGCCTGGGCTCCCAGCAGGGAGACCTCTGTGCATGTGGTGTTTCTCTCTGTCCTCACTGTCGGGACAGATGCTTAGGTCCTGCTGTGCCTTCCTCCTCACATACAGATTCTCTTTCCTTCTGTACAATTTCTTCCACTGTGTTGGTCAGAGCCTTGTGTTTGTTTCAATAGACAAATCCATTGCAAATGTGACACGGCTTAGCGCTTCACGCTGGTTGGTGATGGACATGCAGAGTTTCTTAAGCCACAAACTCAAAAACACAGCCTTGCCACCTTGCACAGAACAGGTTGGTCTTCCTTAGACATTTCTCCAAAGGGAGCAACTAACTGCTTTGCCCTTCCTTTTTTTCACTCCTCCATCACAGGTGCCCTGACACTTCTCAGCAGCACAAGTAAGGATGGCGAGGATGGGGGAAGGTTTCTGCTGCAGGACCCAGGCTTGGGAGCAGCCAGGTGACCAGATAGAATCTGTGAAGAATGTCCTGGGCCTCCGGGCTGAGTCCACAATGCACAGATGGGGCGACCTCCCCAGGATGGCCCTTCTCTCTCCTTTGGGGAAGCCCTGGCTGGACACTCCTTTTAGAGCACCCTCGGCTCAACTGGACGCTGCTTTGGCAGCAGAAAGAAGCAGCAACTCTGCTCTGGAGATGCTTTAGGGAGGTGATTAGACACTTTTTTCTCTACTTTCCTTAAGTGCACTTGACCCACAGGGAAGGCTCAGCTAAATGATGACCATCCTTCTATTCCCAGGTGGCCTGGGGTCATGCTGGAGGTGGGGTGGTTGAGTTCCCACCTGAGTTCCCTAACCAGGAGTCTCCACCCCAGCAGGACCTGGAAGTCCAGCCTACCTTGACCAGCCTACCACATGACCAAGGTTTATGTGTAGAATTCGTTTAATGTTAAAATTCAAGGGAGCATTTCATTCTCCTCAACAGACCCTTGTGTTTTGCTATAATTATATTGTTTCCTCTCTAAACCTCAGTGGGTAGAACTGATGCTCTAGAAGGTGTGGCAGATCTGGCTGGTGGCTCTGCCAGACCCAGGTTCACCACCTTCTGCCTCCCGGGAGTGTATACACCACACATGTTGGTGGGAACAGCAGGCCTGAGAGTCTGGCTCTGGCTCTGCTGCACACGGGAGGCATTGCCCAGGTAGCCAGTTCCCTGTGTGGCCTTCTCTCTGCTCATTTCTAACATGAGAGCATCCAGCAAGGTGTCCGCATCAGTTGTCTGTAGCTTGACTGTCCTGGCCTCTCCACTCTGTGCAGCACTTGGTTGCATTCTTTTAATTTGGGGAAAATCTCCCATCAGAGGCAAACATTTTCTGTTTGTTTTTAGCCCAGTTATAGCATTTTTAGTGACATTCATGAAAAATGGCTTTAGCTGGTTGTGAATGGTGATGGGGAAAAATAACATTCTCCTTCTAATTTTTAAAAAGTATTTGTATATTTGGCTGCACCAGGTCTTAGTGGAGGAGTGAAGCCTCCTTTGTTGTGGTGTGCAGACTCTTAGTTGCCCAT